AACGCAGTGTATTTTCCTCTCATTTACAAAAAGGTCAGGATGATATATATATAAGATCCACCATAACTTTTCTTTATCAGTTGAAATTTTTCACTCTCTTTTTTTTTTGTACTGATCTGGAAGGTCAATATATTTTGTTTGACAAACCAACATCCTTGTCTGTACTATTTATCCCTTCTCTTTACGACCTCATTCTATAAATACATGCCTTCTCTAGTTACATATATATCACCACTCTGTCTGCTGCTGTTTCTGCTGTGAGAAGGTAGTATTCACACATACACACCTGGTCTTGATTATGTAAATTTAAATACAACAAGATGAGCGAATTCTGGAGAATATGAGTATTTACACTGGCTGTGGTCTTTTTTTCTTTGCATTTTAAAAATTCTTCCTTTCAAGTTTAGATTCCTGTCTTGCACTGTGCCTCTATCTGGTCATCTTCCCATCATGGTTTTTGGTGGTGTTACCGATGCCCTTACCCACCCAGCTCCCTTCTCAATCTTTTTTTTTTTTTTTTTTTTTTTTTTTTTTTTTTTTTTTTATGTATCTGGTTGTTACAGGGTCTCACTACGCAGCTCCAATACTCATGGTGATCCTCCTGCTTTCAGCCTCCTCAGCACTGGGATTACAGGTGTGCACCACTACACTCAGACTCTGGCTGGCTCAGCCCAACCTGCGGGCGGGTCTGGAGGGGCATAGGGTGCTGCAGATGGAACCACGGTGCCTGAGCCTGCCTAAACTGGCCTGGAGAGGCGCGCTAGTCCGCAGAGCTATCTCGCCTGCCTCTTTCCCACTCGAACCCACACACCCTGCAGGCCTTAGTCGAGTCCACCCACACATCCAGCCACAGCGGCCTCCTCTTCCTTCACACTCCCACACACTCGTTTCTTATTTACTGGCTGCGTACTAGGTCCCAGACGGCCTGGGAGAGACTCAACCTACAATAAAAGCAGCAGAGGACCTCCTAACTCAAGTAGCATTCCTGTTCCTTTGTCTGGGTCATTTCTCTAGTTATCCAATGTTAGACTCGCCTTGGAGTCCTTCTGCGTTGCATTCCTCCTACTAGTAAAGACCTGGAGGCCTCCCCATGTGAGCTTCAGCCCTGAAACCCCTTTTACGTTTGTGACTTTTCTTTCTCCCGCCCACACTCCGTACCCTCTCATGATCTTGGGTTATTCTGCTAGTTCTGTTACAGCATCTAACGTGATGCTTTTTGCAGTTCACTCTCACAACTCACATCCTCTCATCCTGAGCTATAAAATAAACCTGAATGCAGAGTTTGCATATAATCCTCTCCTGCTCAGAAATGCCATTGATAATTTCCTATTAAATATATTTAAAAAAATCCTTAGTTCAGCCCTTAAAGTTGTCTTTTAATGTGTTACACTGTGTGTGTGTGTGTGTGTGTGTGTGTGTGTGTGTGTGTGTTTTAGGGAAGGGTCTACAGGGTGTTCAGGGTCTCACTACTAGATCCAACTTGTAGTGATCCGCCTATACAGCCTCTCAAGAGCTGGGATTACAGGCATGCACCACAAGGCCCAGTCTCAACTGCAGAGTCTCAGTGTGCCCTGGGGGTGGGGACGGCATGGCAGGCCTGGGGATTGAGCCCCTGTCCCCTGTGCCTGCTTGCAGGTGCTTTAATCCACTGAACTATTTGGCCAGCCCTCAGTTAAAAATTTAAAAAGCCATTTTACAGGGTACAGTGTAATAGTATTTCCTACTTTCCCACCTTTCTCTGTTGAGAGTTCCCTTTAACTGCCCTTTTAGGGTATAAAGAAGATTCAGCCCACTTCCAAGCTGGCCCATTCCTTCCTCCTTTGTGGATTCACACATTTTAAAACTTCTCAATTTACCTCTAACATTCTTCTTTGAAAATAAAGGTTTTCAATACATACCTATCTAAGAATGTATCCATTTGACAATTTACTTGAGTTTGAATAATTATTCATTTCAAATAAATGCCTTCACATACATAATATACATATATATAGTGTGTGTGTATATATGTATGTATATGTACTATATACTGTTTTAAACTTGCTTCAGTAATATAAGTAGCATCTGCATAAATTTAATGTTAAGAAAATGATCATATGCCAAAAACCATGCCAGAAAATTGTGTAGTATTTGCTCATTGATATGAAGGCTTTGGAGTCAGCCTTTAGGCTCACTGCCCAACTGGAATCTCAGTTTACTCTTCTTCGAACAGAGATCATACCTATCTCCCAGGATGACAGAGTGAGTTAAGTCACATAACATGAGCTAAGGTCTAGGACACAGGCAAGCAGATAGTTAAGACAAAAAAGTCATAATTTTATTACTGAAAAACAAATAAGAAGAAGCCAGAAGTGGCGTTTTCTGGTGTGATTCTAGAAGCTTCTCTACAGGTTCTTTTAACTAGATAGAATATATATCTACCTAATGTACATACTTTGTTGTTCATTGTAGCCTGGCAAGTATGACGTTGTTTCTAGTGTAAAATAGTGCATACAGAAAGGGGAAAGAGAGAGGGGAGGGGAGGGGAGGGGAGGGGAGGAGAGAGAGAGAGAGAGAGAGAGAGAGAGAGAGAGAGACAGAGCCCTCCTCCCCTCTGCTGCAGCAAAACCTTGGCCAGAGACATCAAAAGCATAAACAAGGCCAAAGCTGAGAGAGTCGTATGTAGGAAGCGTCCATAAACAAAGCCTATACTGCAGCTTGGCATTGTCTCCTAATGTGGGAAGTGAAAGGGACATTTCAGAAAAATCTTTCCATCTTACTCTAAATCTTGAAAAATCATTTTCCACAGAACCTGGAGAAATGTCTAGACATACTTCACTTGCTTTACTACCCCATCTACTTACTTGCTTATTTATTAACTAAACTTTTTTTTTCAATTATAGAAAGCATTAAATATCTGTTCTATAGTATATCATAACATGAAAGGCAAAGGCAAACAAAACAGTGGGAGAAAATTCTGATGAGTTCATTTATCCATTAACAGATTAAGAATTTATTGAACTTGCCCTATAACCCAGCACTATGTACTAAAAACATGAGTGAAAAACAATTAGTAAAAGAATTAATTAAGGTCCAAAAATAATTATTTGGAGACACAGTGGCACAGACACCAGACTTTCTCAGGGGTCAATTGTCCAACTCTGGGTTTGACTCCCTACCAGAAGGCGTGGATAAGCTGGTCTTTATTACACACCACCTTCCAGCACACCACAGAGGAGTTTCAAAATGGTCCCACAAAATGCAGGCTCCGAGAGCCACATGGTTAGATCACAGGCTGAGGCTTCAGCACCCACGTTGCAACAGAGCTCATTCGTTTCTACTAGCAATGTATCACAGACGATTTTTTTAGAAGTTAAATAATAACTCTGTCTTTTTCCAATTTGTACAAATACCTTAAGCTCAAAATGAGTATAACAAATTGCTAAGTGAGTCTGAAGTTTAGGAAACAGACCAAAAATATATGCTCTACAGATTTATGAAATAGTTCCAGATAGAACCTTTCACCAAACATGAAATATTTCATTCATTTTGAGAGAAACCTGAAAAGAAGAATGATTTCAAGTGTTTTGATCTATCCAGAAGGAGCAGTATTGTTTGGGATTCCATATGTGATTCTCCTGAATCATTTTTGAGGAAAAAGGCAATATAATTTTATCATTCTCCAGGACTAGCCTATTAGAAGGCACTTAATATTTGAAGAAATGCCCTTTTCTTTTTGAGACTACACTGATTTGTACTAACAAAGTCATCCTCCTTTTCAAAAATCTGTGCGAAGATGCCAGCACTCGATAAGATTGCGGACAGCGTCACTTGTCCCTTCTCTCTCTGCCACAATAATTCCCTTCAGAAGTAGGGCTCCTCAGAGATGATCATGGAATGAATAAATTAAGCTTCTTAGGATTACACAGTGCAGGGAAAATTAACCAAGGACAATGCATTAGTCCCCTTCAATTGCTACAAAGATTACTCCCCTTAGGTGTACACTCACATACGTTTAGGGGTCAGGAGGTGAGCACTGACCATTTTTGAGTGTGTGAAAAGAACAAAGCTAAGGTGACTGTATGACATGCTTTGGACAGTCTTGAGGGGAAATCCTTCGTGGAAACCCAAGGAAGGTTGAAAAGGTATTCTTGATCTCTTTCTCAGCAAGGCAGAAAATGTCTTCCATGTTTTAAAAGGCAAATTACACCAAAAGACTTATTCACATTAATACATGCTGAAGTCAAAGGTAACGTTAAAGAATTAAAGAAAAGGTGATACCCATAACCACCCTCCCAAGTCAATATCTATCTTGAAACTGAATCTCAAAATTAATATTTTTCACGGAAGGTGGGAGGCCCAGGATCAATGGATTCAAATGACAAAGATGAAGGATTAGTTTCTAAGCTGGAAATTCCAAATAAAGCATACGTAAAATCAGTTCTTTTAGGAACTGACAGTCCTGGCCTTTAAGTGTATCCATTGTTGGGGACAAAAACATCAGGGAAGAAGTTGCAATATTTTATTTGCAAAACCCCGTTAACGATTCTGAGTCATGCCTGTGCTTTCATTGCTACTGCTTGCTCATTCTGCCCGGAAAGGGCCAGTCATTTCATTTACCCATTTAAAAAAAAAAAAATCACTTATCAATAAGAAACCTTTAGATAAAAATCATTACCTAAAACATTTCTCTTAAGTTCAAATTTATCCATTTTAATGCAGATAAAGATTCTGGATTAAAAAAACAATTACAATAAATTCAATTTGAAAATAAGCCAAATATCTTAATATTCATTAATAACTTGTACCAGAAGTAAAGGATATAATTTTCCCAAAAATTTCTAATCAAAACATCCTTGGATATTGATTCTATCTGCATAGGACATGGCATATGCTACAGACAATGATCAATGTAAGCTTACGGATAAAAGATCAATGATAAAGAGACTAACTGAAATAAAAACATTCCAATTCTTCCCCAATTTTATCTCACTTAAATAACTAAACAAAACAAGTAGTACCTTTTTAATTTTCTGAATGTGTAGTTTCCAATCAAAGCTTCCTCAGTTAGAGATAAGCCGAAGAATCTACCAAAACAAAAGAAAGAAAAAAACATATATATAGATTTTTTAACTAAATATCAAAAATTGCAACTCACCAGTAAGCAAATGCATTCTTCATATCCAAATAATAAATCTATGCCTTGATATCTGTAGTATAAGAAATACAGTACTTGAATTCTTAGGCTCAATGATGAATTTGAGAGCATCTTATTCTGAGATCACACAAAGCAGGTCCTTTAAAAATGCATTAAAAATAAAGCAAAACGAAAAGGTAAAGCCCCAAGCCATTACCAGTGCACAGGCAGCGAGCCCCCCTAGTCCAGCCTCTGAGAACCGCTGCGGAGTCCTCCCCGGAGCCTTATCCCCGGGCTGGTTCTCCGGCTTTCCAGCTCCAGACAGACGCAGTCTGCAAGCCACCAGCTCGTGTCTGTGTGTGTTGGGGAAAGGGAGGCTGCAAATTAGAAAAAGTCCCCGCAGTGGCGAAAAGGAAAATAAGGCGAGTGGGAGAGGGAGAGAGAGCTCACTACCCTCAGAATTTTCGAGAATGATGACAAGCCACTCAGCTCCGCCATCATTCACTGACAATAGGATGCAGCCCTGGCTTCCGATCTAGTGATTTGCCGTAGGGGCTCCTGGTACCAAATGCCTGACAGGCATTTTAATTGCCTCCGTCCAAGTGTGTCCCCAGGAGTCGAGTCTATAAGCCTATGAATGTCATCTTCTGGTCTCCTTTGTGTTAATGCCAGGCACAGGCACACACACACACACACACACACACACACACACACACACACACAGAGTGCTTAAATACAGACAATCTTCAGGCATAAAAGATTAGAAACAAGTTAAACTACACAAACTGAACATAAATAAATGATAGTTTAGAGATTTTTACTATGTGCATAAGCTTTATGTTTTGTCACTAGCAGACTATAACAACATTTTAAAACTGTTGCATACCACTTCCTCATATTTTAAATATAAAATGCTTATTTGCATTCCTAATACAAGTGAGAAGTACAAACACTAATGTATATTTTCCTGTAGAAAATTCAATCCCCTTTTATATATGATAAGTACTGGGAATATTTACAAGGAAGTAAGGACAAAACAAGAATTAAGATTAGGAGACTAGGGGGTGGCATGTATTTCAGTGAGAAACCCATTTTATTCTGTTTCAATACCAAAGCAAAAGGAGGTGGTGACCAGCGTGAGTGTTGGGGCTTGGCAGTCCCTGGGGCTGAGGCAGAGAATCGAGTCTGTGGCATAATCAGTGTCCCTTTCATGTCAGTATCTGAAATTAACAGTTGAATATCCCTGTTCTACAATGCCCCTTATGTGGGAGGTTAAGTGTAGAATAATTCCCTGCATGTATTTCTGGAGAAAAGGAAGAAGAGAAATGCTAATAAGTAAATTAATTTCTATGGCATTGTTAATGCCCTGTACCAGTGAATGGGGTAAATGCAATGCGTACCAAAAGGGCCAGCTGCACAGGGAGGGAGGGAGGGAGGGAGGGAGGAAGAGAGGGATGAAGGGAGGGAGGATCACCATGGTTACCGGAAACAGAAAGTAAGGAGAAAAAAATAAGGTGACCAGGGAGCAGAGGGAAGGAGAGACTACGGTGGGGGAAATTTAGAGACAAAATGATGCACTTTATTCTTTTCTTTCTTGAAAGAACTATCTCTGTCAGTCTTATGTTTTATTTTGGAATTTGTTAAAATGAATTTCAGGTCGGCAGCTAATTTTGCTTTTGGAAATTTTCTTTCTTTCTTTTTTTTTTTTTTTCTTTTTTCTGGAGTGAGCTTGGTCCTGCTTTGCCAGTTTGCTGTACATCCCCTGGATTTGTGGATTTGTGCCCCCCACTCAGCTTGTTCCACACCCTGTGTTTCACAGGTGACACAGCTGAGGCCCAGGGAGTGTGGCCAAAATCACGAACCTGGCTTGGCTTCCTGACTGTCCACCGCCCATCCTCTCGGACCCAAGGACTCCTTTTTCTTCTCTACAAAACAGACTCCAGCCACATCCTTTGTCTTTCACTTTGTAAACCTTTCATTTGCTAAAGCAAATCTCCTCTTCTACAGTTTTTTTTTTAACACGTTGCAATCATCCTGTGAACCAGCTTAGCGCCATCAGGTGCGGTACCATATTTGAGGTCCGCAAAATCTGGGGTAATTATGTCAACAGCTTTCCTTTCATTTCCAGGGTGCAGTCAGATAAATCGAGCACAATTGCTCTTCTGTAGACCTAGATTGTGGAGCCTGGACTTAATCATCCTATATGAGGAATGTCATCAAGACTAGTATCATTGTCTATGCAAGTATGAGATTGGACAGTCATATTGAATAACTCTTCCCAAGATTCTCCTAGACACAGATATTGAACCTAGGAAAAACGGGAGGGGGCTGGGGAGAGACTTAACAGCAACCGCCAGAGGGCGCAATGTTTACTAAAATTGTTTAACCCACTCCACTCAATTAAGTAGTTAGTTTTTTTTTTTTTTTTTTTTTTTTTTTTTGTACTGGGAATTGAAATCAGGACCTTATGCTTACCAGGCAGATGCTTATATGACTAGTGTTTTGACCTTGGTTGTCTAATGTTTTCGGGGCCTATACACATGACTCAATCTTAAATCATGGAATTAGCATGCACAAGATCCTATGTTCAATCCCCAGCACCAAAACAAACAGAAAAATTTTAAAAATCCTCCCCTTTCCCAATATTCAGTTCTTGACTTAATGATTTTCTATTAATTAATCTACAGATAGTCATATCATTTTTTTTTCTATAATACACTGGCTGCTGCCATTCCTGTCCTCTCTTTGCACCTCAGCTAAAGATGAATAAATCACACTAAAAATACATGATTGCCATTGGTAAGAATTATAAGAGATTTCCTGAATTAGTGAATCCTACACACAGGTTAGGCTTCTCACTATGATGTTTCAATCTCCATAAAACACCTATTCTTCTTCAGTGATTTTGGACAGTAAGTTTATTTCTCACAGGGAATGTTTCATTTTCACCTATTGTCATCTGTTCACTTGGGAAAGGCATTTAATATTTAGGGGCACCCACTTTAAAACACGCAAAATGAATCATTTTTAAAATTTGTTTCCAGGGGCAGGGGAGATAGTTCAGTAGAATAAGCACTTCCCTGGCAAGTGCAAGGGCCTGAGTTCAATCCCCGGTTCCGCAAAAATAAATAAATAAATACATACATACATACATACATACATACAAATTTGTCCGATACAAAGTAAACACTGTGTGTTAAATACAATTCTTGCCCTTAAGTGCATCATATTCTAAAATACATAAATAAGTAAATAAAGATGACAAACAACAAATAATCGAGAGACTTCCGTGGCTTTGGGGGTTTTCGTGTCTGGAGCCATCACTGTCCGCTGTCTTTGCCCTTCCTCCTTTAGACCCGCTTTGCGTTGTCCTGCAGGTTCGTGCAGCCAACTGCGATGGGACACGCATGCATATCTTAGATGCCCGGGTGGTCTATGCTTGGGAAACGAAGGAGAATGTTGTTTCCGGCTGAAGAAGCCTCAATGCTAGTAGAAGGAACACAGAAGCAAGAAAGGCGTCTTCTCCCTTCCCTCCTCGGAGCTCCGGCCTCCTGGCCTGACCTTCCTGAAACTGCCCTTCACACAGCCCACCTCTTCCTGCTCCTTTTTTCCTTCACCCATATCGTGCCATGAATTATCTTTTAAACGATCTTTACTACTTATTACCCCCTTTCTGCTAGTTCCACGAGAGCAGTTTAGAGCACTAATGGATCCAGCTTCCTCAAAACTGTACTTCAAACATTCTAGTAACTCAGAAACTTTTTAAAAGGAATGAATGTGAAAATGGTATTAGTGGACTAATTGGAGAGTTTAGTATATGTGCTGCCGAAGCGAGCACTAATTGGAGAGTTTAAACATAAGAAAAGCTTTCGTATTTTATATTGATTTCCCTATCTTACATATTAAATCTTCCTTCCTTATACATCTGTCTTTTATTTGTGCCATAAACCACATTGCCGTGGAATCAGTACTTTTTTTTTTCTTTCTGTATTTAGGTCAGAGTCTACATGGTCTCACTACATAGATCAGACTGCTAGTGATCCTCCCGTTTTCAGCCTCCCAAGCGCTGGGATTACAGGCGCGCGCCACCACACCCAGTCTCCACCGCCGGCTCAGCGCACCCGAGGGGCAAGGCTGGCATGGCATGCCGGGGATCGAACTCGGCTGCTGCTCTCTGCCTAAGCAGGTGCCTTAAGTCTGCTGAACTATCAGGCCGGCCCAAGGCAGGATTTTCTTAAAAAAATAACAGGGTCTCACTACGCAGTCTCTCGTAGTGATCCTCCTGTTTTCAGCCTCCCCAGCAGCTGAGATTACAGGCATATGCCACCACGTCCGTACTCCATCGCATGCTCAGTGCGCCCCAGGGGCGGGGCCAGCGCGGCATGTGGTACCCCAGTCCCTGCGCTTGCCTAAGAAGGCGCTTAGTCAGCTGAGCTATCTCGCAGGCCCTGGAATCAGTACTTTAAAAAAAATAATTTCCATTGTTAAACAAAAATTTATTTAAAGTAGGATTTTTCTCCTACTTTCTTTACAGTCTGTAAAATTCCTACCATGAGGTTATCAACTCTTAAATATGGAGGAAGAACTTGTTCGCTTGCTGATTGTGGTAAAATATGCTAAACCGTAATTTTAGATCTTAAAAATAAAATTGGAATAATCAACTAATGCTGCCTCAGAGTAGGAATAATTTGGTATTGCCTTTTAAAAATTTGACTATTAATACTATAATATATGCTTTAAAATTAATAGAAATAATAATTACAATTTCATTTAGTATAGTTGAGTTGGAGTTATTCTAATATAACAGAAAGATGTAAGTGCTTTGCAAAATTAGTACGCAAATTCACTAAACATTGCTTTGCCTTATTTAATACAGATCTATCTTCCTTCAACAAAATTGCTTCACCAAAGGATGTTGAGGTTTGAAAAGAAAGGAAAAAATGAAAGTCA